GGTTAAAGCAGAACATGATGTGTTTCAGAGCTTCACAGTTTTATGTACAATTAACTTCACAACAACTTCACAATATGCACAACCATAAAATACATGAGAAATAGAAAATGAACACATTAGTCACTATACCGTAGGAATACCAGAAATCTCAAGTTGAAAAGGTGAATGTTCAGTACAAACCAGAAAAAAAATGTGTTTTTTCCTTGTGATGTTCTACAATGTTTTCTTCTGGTTGTTAAAAATGTCTGTTGGAGGTGACGACTGGCATGGGATTAATACTGAAACACATGCTCAAATGGAATATAAACAGTAAAAACACAAACTATGTTTTCATTGTTTGTTTACTTTAGTGGTGAGGTGCAGTTAGCAGATAGGTATTGTTACAAATTTCCTAAATAAATAAACTCAAAATAACTGTCAGGTGGACTGAAGCCGACTGACTTTTATCCCTCAGTAGGTGCAGCATCTTGAGCTTCTTGTGGACCAGCTTCACCTTCTGCGCTTTCATTAACCATTTCATTATATTTACTCTTAAAAAATCCTGCCTGAAAGTGAAAAACAATAAAAACAAAAAATTCTGTTAAACTAAAAGATTTAAATAATGGTCAGTATTGACCATAATTTGTAATTTATTATTTTTGTTTAAAAAATGAATCACCTTATACAGCCCAGCAGTGAGTAGACCAAGAAAAGCCAATCCTCCCAGAGATCCTCCWACGATCTCTTTGGTAAAATCTGGTTCAGGAAACACTTCTATCTCAGCTTCAATCTGAAAAATACATGATCTGGATCAAATTCAAGTCCTTATAGTACACAAAAAGAGTGTTTATGATGTGCAGTTACCAGGCGAACAGGAGGGACGTTATTAGAGGTTGTTGAGAAGTAGATGTACTGGTTTCTGTCGTACTCCAAACTGGCTGTACTGGTCAGGATAAATTTGGCAGATGGAAGTCCAATCTGAAAGAAAAAACATGGATTATTTGTTTCCAGAATTTTGACATTTCACAAATAATTGAAGAATTATATTTTTATCATTTGTAACCAAGGTCAACTACATTTCAGTTACCTGCTCTATCCACGCTGAGCTGAGGTTTGCAGAGATTTTGTATGTTTTCTGCTCCAACCTTTCCATGAACCTGCTGCACCTGAAAACTCTGCACCACGCTACAGAGCAGTCCTGTGGATGAAAAGGCAGTTCAGTAGAGAATGCATTTAATTCATGTACTACCATTTCAACAGGCAGACTGTAAGGTGTACTTACAATACTTTTATTTTCCTTTATTTTCGCGATAAAATTTGTCCCAGCAGGTTTTTCATCGTTTCCTCTCTGACAATCTGCAATCTGAAAGAAACTCAGTTTACCTGTTCCTTATTTAACATTTTGATCTATCTCATTGCTGTGTGTGAAAATTTGTATGTAGTTACAGATCTGTGAAGTACCTGAAAACTGTTCGTATCCACCCAAATGTCTTTGTCACCGAGCTTCACAGGAACTCTGATCACTACAGTGAAATTCAGAGCTCTGATATTATTTGTGACCTGGAGAATAAAATAGGATGAGTGAGAATTAAGTTGAGATAGAAACTTATGGCAACAAAGATTATTAGTTTTTTTAGTTTACCTTAATTATTTGTTGGAATGGTTTCTGCAGATTACTCTTTCCAAATGTGAAATTATTGTAGCTGAGGGAGCTGAACATATGTAAACATTTATCGAATGTTTAATTAGACAGCTTAAAATTATTACTTTAAAATATTTTTATTTGTTTTTATGAACAGAGGTAGAACGGACCTTTCCATTGTAATGAGTATGCTGTACTTCACACCAATCTCTTCCTTCTTGTAGAGCTTACTGGAAGGGGCGTGCTGCTGGTTCCCACTAATTCATGATATAAAAAATATTTTTTTAAATCTGCACAGTCAAGTTTATGTGTGAGAAATTTTAAAATCAACATATGTTAACGAGAGCACTGTACAGAACAAAGGTCCAGAAATATGCAAATAAAAGGGTATAAATAAAAGTAAAAAAAKACCAGTAGTACCTGGTTGCATTTGCAGTGACAAAAATCCTCCTTTCAAGTTTTCTGCTGGGATTGAACCCATAGGAGACGATAAAAACAGCCTGAAATTAAAGTAAACAAAAAGAATTAGATAGAGCGGGTAAAATAAGTGTTGAACACGTCACCATTTTTCTCAGTAAATATATTACTAGAGCTGCTAATGACATGAAATTTTCACCAGATGTCGGTAACAACCCAAGTGATCCATACATACAAAGAAATCAATCTAATTCTTTGTTCAAAAGCCTTTGTTGTCAATGACAGCTTCAAGACGCCTCCTGTATGGAGAAACTAGTGGCA